GAGCCAATTAAATAAAAGGAATCCAAGCATGGAGGACGTTTAATGCAAAGAACGTACAAAGCATGGGAGGCGCAGTCAAGTTGATATTATACAGGAGAACTGCAACAGCTAGGCAGAAAGAGACAAAAGGACTTATCGACTCCAAAGAAGAAGACGAACAACAAGTTGTTATCTTCTGAAACAAAGATTCAACGTACAAGATTAATTCATCTCAACTAACGGATGAGATTAATCTACCGGAGATGCCTATAAATGAAGGCCGAAGCATGAGTTTGAAAATACGTTTTTGAGTTCAAAAGCAGAGAAATCCTATAAGCATTCAAAGAATATCTTGCAAAAGAGAAAGTGCTTGATCATAACCTCACTCTCTGCTTTGACTCATGCTTCACTAAGCTCTTAGACAAGATCATCATTTTCATATTTTTAGAGCTTAGTTTATAGTTGGAGACCAGAATTTTCTTGTAGTATACAAGGAGTTGTTGAACACTTCAGGAGGACAGTTGTTCCCAGCCTGAGTGTGGTTAGATAGGTCAGGAGTACCTTTTGATCCCCACTGGATCAATCGAGAAAAAGCTAAAGGATTGAGTAGCTTGGAGTGGTGTTGAACTCCTCGTGAAACACCTTCAATCTAGGTCAGAGTTGTCAAGGCTAGATTGGCACTAAGTGTATTGGGCTTAATACATTAGTGAAATCCATTTGAAATAGGATGGGACTGGATGTAGGAGGATTACACCACCTCTGAACCAGGATATATTGTGTGTTGATTTACCTTCAGTCAACATAGCACACACCCAACACTTCTCAATAAAGAAATCGTAGTTTGCCAGCAGAATCCTAAGCAGTAGTCTTAATTGATTCTACTGCTTATCCTACTGCTCAATAACTTACCTTTTCTTAAGACATCTGTTTCACAAGAGCTTAGGAACATCACTACTAGAAGGTTTGTTTTGCCAGTTCTCAGAACACACTCCTTAAAACGCAGCAGGTGCCCCAGCAGTTCCCTGGCACTACCCAACTGCTGAGATCTCTGCTCAAGCAAAACACCTTATTATTTCCAGCTCAGCACATATCCAGAAAGCCCTCATCATTCTACATAAGGTCATATAATCATTTCTCCCAAACTCCTATTTTACATCGGCAGTTGCCTCAGCAGTTCCCTGACATCCAGGCAACTGCCAAGCCAACTGCCGACTGTTTAAAGTCCAAACATCATTCAAGCTAGAAAGTTATTCTTACACTGTTTCCATAAAGGGTAAAGACTTCCGCTGTGCATCTATAAATCTTTCAAAAGATTATAGATCAACTCTTTAGAGGGAGAAACGCTTTAAGTTGAAAAAGATTTAAAAGTCTATTCACCCCCCCTCTAGACTCTTACCCTATCTGGGACCATCAATACGGGAGCTTCAAGACAAATAACGGCCATCAGCACCTCAAAAAAGCCACAAATAGAAACTAGCCAAAAATAAATTCATATGTATAAAGAAACATAAATCGAACAAGAAATAAATATAGAGCAATAAACCATGTTTGGACGAATTCAAACTCGAGGTGGCATCTTCCAAACTCTAGCCACACGATCCCTCCATGGTGGCAGTTCAGGTGGGAGACAGACCGGCAATACTGCATCTTCTTCCTCACCTTGCTCCTTGTTCATCACAATCATTGTCAAAACTTCATTTTGGGCACCACAAGCACACCACCAAATGCCAAATTGTATAATAATCTGGTTCTGCATGACTAGGGGGATGGAGGGAGTATGATTTTATTATAATATTGAACAAGTTGTCAAAGCGGCTCATTGGATTGAAGTTCCGAATGTCACCCTATCTAGTATCCACCACGGTTTGAACCCCCTCTTGCCTTCGTGTTTTGTATTTAATTCCGGGTTTCCTATAATTTTCGGGTTTGGGCCCTCCCGGGTTACGAGCTCGGTTAGGTGGGTTAGTTGGTAATTCCGGGTTCGGACACATTAAAGGGTTGATGGCTTACCAGACCGGATTGGGACCAGGTGATCGGGTTCTGGGTTGACCGGTGCGGTCCTCTAAACATAAGTTGATCTTTGGAAAAAATATGGAGGCATGTGACCGAGAACTCGATATCCGATTCCAGACGTGTCCTGGTACCGTTTTTATTTTAATTTTGTATATAGTTTTAAACCCTCTATCCCCTTCCCCACCCTTTTAAGCTTTTAAATGACACTCCACCCTTATAAAATGTTTTCCAATGATTTCATTACATAAAACAATGAGACCGGACCGAGAACTCTTTCCCACCAGTCCAGGCCCGGAACCTTAATTTTTGGTACCAGCCTTGGTACCGAAAAAATAGATGGTCCTGGAGCCGGGTCCGTGTCTACCCCTACATGGGGCTACATGTGATGCACATTGTTTCCTTTAAAGATATCAAACACTCCATGTATTATAATCTTGCGCTGATGGAGCTATCCAAGAAGAAATATCCTTATTGTGCCAAGTCATATTTTTTTATTGATATACAATCATTCAAACCTCGCACAAGGATCAAATTCCATCACTATGTACGCTTATACAATTCTATATTGCTTCCAATTAGGTAATTTTTCAATAAAATTCATTAGGGACAATTGGATAAAAACAATTATTGGAACATTTTTACAATCTATACTGATTCGTAAGGTACAACTTTTGTTAAATGGATTTAGTGATTTATTCTCGACTTATATTTGACCTCATTGTTAGTCCTTTCAATATATTTATTTATTTGTAAATTATGTTATGTTACTAATTATGTTTTTTACATCAAATTTTTTCCCACCTTCGTAGAAAGGCTAAACGCTTTTTCAAAGCACGACACACCAAATAAATACGGTGGCAAATTCGTAAAATAGTTCGTCAATATGAAAAAGTGTAACATGCCAATGTTATAATGTATCACTTTGAATTAGGGGTGCAAACGAGCCAAGCCGAGCCGAGCCCGAGTTTATGTAGGCTCGAGCTTGAGCTCGAGCTCAAAATATATTGTATTGGCTCGAGCTCGGCTCGAACGAGCTTAAAAAATCCGGGCTCGAGTTCGACTTGCAAATATTGACATGGCTCGATTCGGCTCGACTTGGCTCGATAATTTTGGTTCGTCAACTCAAATGTTACAAGTTCGATTAGCTCGAAAGTTTCGGGTTCGAACTCGAGCTCAAGTATGAAACAATCTTTGAATATTTATGCTTAGTATTTGCAAATTAAAATTTACATGCCCAACAACTAAAAGTAGAGTAAGAAGGCGTTTACTTCGCTGCAAAAGTCACAGTTAGGTTAGTAAGACAGGTGAAGTAAACACGGAAACTGCTTAAAAAGCTGCTTACTAACCGAAAGAGGTGCTTAAAGTGCCGCTTACTAAGCATACCCCCATGTATTAATTAAGTGACACTTTAAGCTTATTCAGTTTCCTAATTTACCCTTACCTTTACTCATTGCTCTTACCCTATTGTTACCCTCTACCCACCCCGTCTCACCCCTGCCCTACCTTACCCTAACCCCATCCCTACCCTCACGACCATAACCCCTTACCCCACCCCCACTCCACACCCACCGTACCTCGACCCTTCCCCTTTATCGCTACCACTGGTCCCTAACTACCTCGACCCAATCCCGACCCCAACCCTGACCCCATCCTACCCCATTTACCCCCTACCATACCCCGACACTACACTACCCCTTTACCCCTACTTCACCCCCACCCCACCCTTACCCTACCTCCTCCTACCCTAACTCGTCCTACCCCTACCCTATCCCTACCTTGACCCGACCACTACCCCACTCAACCGTACCCCGATCCTACCCCTTTACCCCGCCCCGACCCGACCCCCACCCTTACCCGCCCCCCGGACCCTAACCCCTTTACCCCCTACCATTCGCCCTTACCTCGACCCGACCACTACCCCAACCACTTACCCCTCCCCACCCGTATACCCTTACCCTACCCCGATCCTACCCCCCTGACCCCACCCTCGGACCCTACCCCCTACCATTCGCCCCTACCTCGACCCGACCACTACCCCAACCACTTACCCCTCCCCTGCCACTACCCCTTTACCCCTACCACCCGCCCCTACCTTGACCCACCCCCACCCCTACGAGTAGGGTAGGGGTTAGGGGTTAGGAGTATGGGTATGCAGGGTTGTATGGGGAGTATGGGTAGAGGTTAAGGTCATGGTAGGTGTAGGGGTAGGGGTGGGGGTGCGGGGCGGGTAGGGGAGGGGTATGGGTACGCGTATGAGGTGACCCCCACGTATTATATTATATATTTGTGTTCAAGAATGTTTGTGTCCCCATATATGTATAGGGTTATTTTGGACATTTTAATGTTAAACGATGTTTTAAATCATTTGAAGTAAACATGAGCTTACAATAATGCTTATTTTATGCGCCGCTTATTAATGCGGGACTTACTAAGCACCGTTTAGTAACCCGTGAAGTAAACATGTCCTAAATGTTGTCCAAAATAAATAAAAAATGATCAAACCATGATGATTTAACTGAAACTAGAGTTACGGGAACGGAAAATATAATATCTCTCCGATCCCCATATACATTTACCAATCAGCATTATATATATTAATTTATATTATATATATTATATATTAATTTATATTAATATTAGTAGTATACACACACATAAAATTAGGCTCGCGAGCTAGCGAGCCTAAAATTAGTAGACTCGTTTATGGCTTGAATGCTTAACGAGCCGGCTCAAGCTCGAGTTTGATCGAACTCGATTTGAGCTTTGACTGAGCAGCTCACGAGCGGCTCGGCTCATTTGCACCCCTACTTTGAATTAAAAGTGGCGCTCTCATGATTCTCAACGTTAAGCACCTAATTCTCATTTGATTGTAAATCGATCAGAAGATATGCAATCATGCAAATAAGTAAATTCACCGTGTGCTTTAAAGACTAGTAACTATTTACGGACACAATATTTTTAGATCCCAATTTTACCCTTCCATCTAAAACTACCCATTCATACAAACAGCCTCAGTTTCTCTTTCGCCTTCAAAGCTAGCTAAGCTTCTTGGATTGGAGCTGGATGATAAACCGTTTCTCCTTCTTTTGCTTCTTCCACTACCTGGCTCTATCCCCATAGGTTTGGTCATATTCAGAACTAGAAAATAGGAAGGGTCGAAAGGATGAACAAAAACTTTTCCCCCCAACGTTTTTCCGGTAAGAAAAATCCGATTATTATTCCTAACATAGAATCAGGTTAGCCAATACTCTTAAATCATTTTGTTGACCTTTTCGATTGATTACTTTTGTTGGCAGTCACTATAGTTGTTTAATCAGGAGCAGAGCAACTGGATTCTCTTATATCAAATTGATTCCCCCTATTCTTTTCGTTCATCTTTGAAATTTGGAGTAATATTTATGATTTTCTCTTACATTCAAGTTTATTTGAATGTAGTTTCTGTAATCGATGCACGGCTGGGCAGTTCCACAGTTGTGCTGTTCTCTTTCGGTGGTTGTCTTCTTCAACTTGTGCTTGGATCGTTATTCTTGTTTAGTAAGGTTAATTTAGGGGTTTGAATTATTTTTATTTAGTTTCATTTAAATAAGTGGGTGTGAATAGTAATTTTGGGGTTGTGAATAGAATTGCCCAGAGTCCCATACTGCATCTGTATGCTAGATCCTGCCCTGGCATGTAAAGTTAACCATCAATTTGTCAGCTTGAGACGCAGCACCTCATCTCCCTCTTTGGAATACCTCCTGCTTTGTAACCCAGTTAATCAGCTGGTCTTCTTTGTACATTTTGGTTTGAAGGCCTGCTCTGGGATACGTTAACTGACAGTACTGCTTCTTCCTCCTGACCTTCTACAGCTTGTTTATGCCGGACATATGTATTGGATTTTTCAAACAATGTATTAACTGAATCGTTTTCCCCTAATGCAGCAAGATTCTGTGCTTGGTAGGGGCCATATTTCAAGGGTTATATTGGCGTAAAACCCATTTTTAGAATGGGGAAAACCCTGGCTTTAAGTATTCGTTGCTTGCGAGAAATTCCTAGGCTTTTGCATGTCAGTTATCCAGGTAACCCAAGCTTCCGAATTCCAATGGATATTATTACAAATATTTAATAAATCAAGTATTTATAATAATCATTTCCCATTGGAACGGTTAGGGACTAGTTATCATCTCCTTGGAGGCGCTGGAAACATAGTTCAGTTGCGTTCACTCTCATCTCTTCTGGTATCCATTGTTTGTGTGAAGAAACATGATCACATGTGCTATATTTCTTGTAGGTATTTTTTTGTACATGTTATAGTGCTTCTTGTATATCATTTGCAATTTCCATGTCCTTTACGCCTTGCAATTTCAGGAAGTTGTGCTTCATGCCTCATATGTGAAGAAAAATAATAATGTCCAAGAAACATTAGAGGCTCAGTTAATTTTGAGAAAATAGTGAACTTTTTTACATAAAGAGACACCATCTTTTCATGTCTATATGTGTGCTAACTAGTGCATATTTTCTATTAAAGTCACATAAACAATTTTTCTTCGATTAGGTAATAAATTTTATTATCCTATTCTATTTGGGTTATTTTGACCTATCTCTGGCATGATAGTTGTTTGAAATTTTTAACATAGACTGCACTATTCCCACGTGTAGAATGTAGATAGATTGAGCTAGTGTTAGCTACTCTCTCAGTCCCAATATAATGTCAAGACGCCAGTTCTGCGGTCTATTTAATGCTCTGATCATATATGAGCTTTTGTCGCCCAATGGAACTGTTACTGTAGTTTCCACATATGTAAGTTTTAATTCTTACTACCTTGTCCCCAAGATTGGGACATGAGGGGTGGTGCGGTTATTAAGAAAAGTAGGCTTATGTGGTTGGTATTGAATTGGTAATATGTGGTTTTTATTGCAATTTCAGATTGTTGTTGGTTCATGTTGCATCATATTTAGTGGCTCTAAGAGCCCTATAGTGTACCATGCCAGGGAAGTAGATCTGGTGATTCTGGAGAACGGTATGTCAGCCTTTTGTTATTCATCATTACTTTATCAATGTTCCAAGTTGTCTAAATACAATTGCTCCTTGAGCCGCAACTCAGGCCTTTCTAGCAGAGTTATGCTTTGAGGCTATACCGGATGGCGGAATTGGCAAGGATTACAGAATTCTTGCATGGGGCGTACACCTCATTGTGCAATTCCTTGAGGTGTTGCCGAGGCTTATGCAATAAGGATGTTCTAGTTTGGTCCAAGTGTTTAAACTTTAAACACCAATTTTATATTTCCTTTTAAGAAGTCGAATTTAATGGATAGCCTTACACGCCTTATTTTCCTTTCTCTTTTCTCTTATGTAACACAATTCTGATAACTTCACTAGTTATCCTACTTGACTTCTCCTAGCCAGCACATACATGTTTCATCTTTGACTTCTCTCTTCTCTTCTCCTGTTATCTTTTCCCTCTACACTTCCCTCTCTCTCTCTCTTTCTCTCTACCCTCCTGATTATGGGTTTTCTCTTGATTTACGTTTCTTCAACTACCTTGCTATATTTACAAACAAGCTATTCATTTTACCTTGCTACATCTTCAAACAAGGCCTCAATACATCACCTTTGTTTTTCGCTACTTTCATCTACGGCTGGGCAAGTAGGGCCACTACGGCTGTTGAACGCCATGCGAAGGGCTCCGTGAAATGTGAAAGTCCATTTGGTGTCCCACCCAAGGTGTGGACGTCTGGTGGTCTCGTTCATTTCGCTTGGCATGCACAAGCAAGATTAGCCAAACGTTGGGATAAGGGAACTGCAACATGGTTATTTTCATCTCGATCATCTGTCTTGGCGAACTGTTTGATTCGATCGAATGGAATGGGACCACACTACTGTGTGGGCCCGGACTGGCCCGGTTGGTGCTAACCGGGCCCGAGCATTTACCCGGTTGGGGCGGGTTGGGCGGGCCACGCCCGGGCCCTGTATTTCTTGAACCGGCCCGGGCTTTTTTTTTTTTTTTTTTGTTTTTTTCAATTTTTGTTTTTTGTTTTTCTTGGTTAGGGCTGGGTGTTTTGGGGGGGTTGGGGGTGGGGGTGAAGGGGGGGTCAGGGGTTAATTAGAAAGCAAAAAAAAACATAGAACCGGGTCCGACCCGGACCAGCCCGGACCTGGTTTATACCCTGGCCGGTTCCGGGCCCAACTATTTGAAAAAAAGCCCGCTTAGGCCCGGCCCGGGCCCGGGCCATCCCTAATCTCGATCATCCGATCTCGACGAACCGTTCGATTCAGTCGAACGGAATGGGACCCCAACTTGATGATTTGGAGGTGATATTCCATCTCGATCATCTGCCCGAGCAAATCGTTTGATTCGATTAGACGGAATGGGACCATGACTAGTTGAATTGGAGGTGATCACACTCCCCCACTCGCTCGATTCGGCCGACGAAATCATGGGGAATGGAGTATTATTTCATCTTGATTAGCTTGTCATAAGCGAACCACCTAGCTGAAGGGTTGTGCAGTTGCATATGACCAGTTGATTTGGAGGTGATTACTCTGTCACGCCTCGGACCTACCCGGACACGTCAACAACCCACCGTACAGTACAAATAGTCAACCACAGTCCAACACATCCATACTATACAAGGCGTCTGGAATATCATTCACACGTAGTACATCAATAAATGAACATAATGTAAAATATTCATTATAGCAGCGAAAACATTAATACAAGTGCTCAAGCCACACTTGGCATAATTAGGCATACAAGCCCTCAAATACTTATTCAGAAAATAAATATCCATGAGCATTATTATAATTGTTTTTGAAACAGAAATGGAGGAAGCACGAACCACGTCTTCCTTCCTAGATCTTCTCGAAGCAATGGGCACTGGTAGCAAGCTCAACTTCTACCTGAAACTGTGAGGTGGCCTCCCCCGTGAAGGGGAGGTCAATACTTTGAAGCATTTGAAAAGTACAATGACAACTACACTGTATATAATCAATGTTTCAATTTTTAAGACCCTCAATCTAGGGTGATATTATATTATAGGTCGTAACCCTCAGTTACCCTGTTTGAAAATATACTTACTTTCTCAAAAGTCAAGTAGTCGGCTCCATATTCATTTTTGAAACGTCCACCTCTTTTTCCCGTGACTACAAGTCACAATCATATAACTCTTCGTAAATCATTATGTCGTTCTAGGGTCTTACCCTAACACATTATTTCACTAAATTAGAGCCCCACTCATTTATTATTATTACTCCGTGCTAGAGCACCACATCTAGTCACCCTACATTATGCTAGAGCACCGCATCTAGTCGATTCATATTGTGCTAGAGCACCGCATCTAGTCACCACTACTTCGTGCTAGAGCACCGCATCTAGTCACGCCATTTAACCCCTAAGATTTACTATGCCTAGTTTAGCTCATCTTGAGTAGCTCTTAAGGCCTATTCCTAATATATCTTAGAGCTCATACAATTCAACCTTAAAGTATTACTTAAGACTACTTAAGGTATCACTATTCATATTCCAATCCCTTAGGATTAATTCTATCATTATTCGTATTAACTTCCCGACTAGTATTTTAATACTAGTCGGATAATTCTAGAACAACCAAGTTCTTAATTCATAGTCAAACAATTCATTTCAATTGATTCTCCAATTCAAATATAATTAAATCTCAATATCAAAAATATCACTTTATCCATTCATGAATTCTTTACATGAAGTAAAAGTATATTTTTTCACAATATTTCATAGTTAATTCCACTATCATGCCATCATTTTCATAACACATAATTGATGGAGTATATGGCCCGGGAACCCCCGGCCCACAGACTCCTACTACTCCAATAAAGGCCCAACAGGCCCAGAAAGCACAAAAGGCCCAAATCACGGCGCCCAGAGTACCAAGCAGCCCACAATGTGCACCAGGGGTGCCTTCGCCCCCCTGGCCGAAGGCTCTAATTCTCACAGGAGGGCCAAGACAGGAAAACAAAGTTTCTGGGAAAAACGGCGAAAATCAGTAGCCCTCGGCAACTAGAGCCCTCGGCACTAAGGGGGTCCCCGGTACTCAGGGCCCTCGGCTAGTCATCTACTACCGAGGGCGCCTTTTCCGACATAATATCCGCTCCACATGCGTACAGATCACCGTGCCCTGTACAATGTCCCATCCAATAGCCGCATTAAATGCGGCAACATGCGGTTGCCAGCGCCAACCAGTTGAGGTGACCTCTCGGCCAATGGACGCTTGACACGTGTCCCTGTCCGGCATTTATTGCTACTATAAATAGCACCCCATTTCCTCGTTGTAAGCCACGCTGAAAACACTGAACACTTTCTAATATACCTTCTCTCTCTACACTTACTTGCTCTGACATCTCTCTAGTTATTCCCCGTAATAACCCCTCGGATAAGTTACCCCCTGGGTACACTATCCATCATTTGGTGCTCTCGTTGAGAGGTCGAACAATCAAGTAAGAAACCCTCCCCCTCGACCAAAACGCAAAACACCCAGCTAAAATGGTGGGAACAACTCGTGCCAACTCCAAGAATGTAGAGGACAGTAACCTGGCCCTCGGCGAGGTCGACGTCCCCGAAGCCTCTAACAAGGCTCCTGGGGGCGGCGTCATCGCCGGGTTGGACCAGACGGCTGTCGACCTACGTCAGCAGATTCAACAAAATGCCCCCGATGCCCGCCTCGGCATCGAGGCCAAGAAGAAGGACCGGAGCGAAAATCAAATTAGCCCTCCGGTCATCACCATCGACGTACAATCGGTGCTCTCCGCCTTCATCCAAACGCTCACCCAGAACCCGGGTGCCTTCGGCACTTTGGTTCCCCCCCAACCTCAGGTGGGGGAGAATGTAATGCCTCCCCCTCATCCATAACCCCTCGGTAACCCGGTCCTCCGGATGGGGAACTCCGAGGGGGTCGTGGCCCAAGATACGGCCTCCCAGGAAGTCCAGTCCCGGGACCGCCACAAAGTAAACAGGGAACAACTCCGGACCTCCGCCCTCGAGAGACTCGGAGGGGCGCAAGACCGCCGAGGGGTCCAAGACCGCCTCGGGGGGAAGGCGTTCCAAAGACCTCAGGAAAGTGGCGGGTCCGTCTCCAGGGCCAATGAAAGATGTCCCCCTCAGGACAAAGGCAAGGCACCTCTCCATGCCAACGACGCACGCCACCAAATCAACCAGGCCCACTCGGCCCGGGTCCATTCGCAGGGGGCGGAGGCCCTCCCGAAGGACACCCGGGACGAAATCATTGCGGCCCTCCAGCGTCGGCTTGACGAGATGGAGGCCACCAAAGCCCACGCCACCACTTTTGCCCGTCATACATACCTCAAGTATGAGGCAATGATGGCCAAGATGGAAGAAATGCAGAAGAAGATAGCCGAGGGCTCCGGGGAACCCACCATACAGCTCCGGACCCGGACGCCGTTTACCCCAAGGGTATTGGCTGCCCGGATCCCGGAAAAATACCGAAGGCAGCTCATCAAGCCCTATGACGGAAAGACTGACCCCAAGAGCACTACAACAGGTATCAAAAAAGCATGATGATGGTGGGAGCATCAGATGAATATTTGTGCCGCTGGTTCCTCTCCACCCTAGAGGGGCCAGCTTACGAATGGTTCAATCGATTGCCCGAGGGCTGCATTGACTCATGGCAAGAACTCGCCCAACGATTCTTGACGCAATTTGCGGGAAGGCGCCGCACAAGAAAACACTTCTCCCACTTGCTAACAGTGAGGCAGAAGAAGGAGGAGACCTTTCGGGACTTCCTGGAGCGTTGGAGGACGGAGGCTGATAAAGTTGATGGCGCTGACGACGGGACCCTCCTGGCCCTCTTACAAACAGTACTCCGCCCCGGGAACTTCTCAAGGAGCCTCATCATCGAACCCCCCCGCGATTATATAAGGGCCCTACAGCGGGGGGACCGGTACGCCGAGGCCGAGGAGGTGGAGAAACACCACCATGTCCCAGATCAGCAATGCCCTCGGCCAGACGACAAAGGTAACCGGGGGCCGGGGGCTCCCCGCAATCATCCCAAGGATTCTGCCCCCTCCGGTGATCGCCCCCGGCATGGCCAAGCCAAGCCCGGAGGAGGCTACAAGGGGAACCCGAGGGCTTGGGCACAGCCTGTCCTCCCGGAGCACCCTCGGACACCGTTGACGCACCCCGTCAGCGTTATTCTGGATTTTGCTGAAGAAAGGGGCCTCGTGGAGCGAGATTCACGCGCGCCCTCAGAAGTATTTGCCGTCAATCCAAACTACCCCTACTGTCATTTCCATCGACACCAGGGGCACAGGACCGATGATTGCCATCAGCTAAAGATGGCCATCGAGATATTAATACAAGCAGGCCATCTGTCCCAATTTGTCCAGGGCCCTCAGCAATAGCCCCTCCCTCACCAAGGGCCTGCCCGGGGGCAAACTGCGAGAGCAAACGCATGGGTCAACCCCAACACCATCCCCCTCGACAAGAAGAGGGAGATTGGAAATCTGGAGGAAGAAGAGGAGGAGTACCCCCGGTATCAAGAAAAGAAACGCCACATCCTCATGATCACGGGGGAAATACCGGGGGTGATTCTACGAGTCAACGAAAGAAGTGGGCTCAATCACTTTATGTGGGGGAAGTCACTCATATGCCCCCAGTAAAGCTGCTGAGGGAGGAACCCATTATCTTCACTAACGCTGATCTCCCTCCAGTATCCTCCCCACACAGGGATGCCCTCGTCATCCGCACAGAGATCAACGACACTATTATTCACAGAACTTACATTGACACGGGCAGCTCCGTCAATGTAATGTACCTCAGCACCTTCAGAGAGCTGCATCTGGAGAGGGGGTCCCTTCGGCCCATCAAGACCCCTCTTGCCGGCTTCACCGGCGACACCATTGATTCCGAGGGGGTCATAACCCTCCCGGTCATCTTCGTCGACGGCC